TGGTAATTTGGGGCCACTGGTGACCAGCTGTCTCTGATTGTCACCATGGAAACCATGAGTCTGTCTTTATTTTCGTGAAACTCTCTAACTTGCATCAGACTAATCTAAGAGCAAAATTAAGACACAACAGAAAAGTCTACAATATCTTGGTGAAACCGGCCCCCAGCTCTATTGGGCATACTCTACCAATAAATCTCCCTGACCTTGAAACCAATCCTCAGGGCTACATCGAGCTGATAATCAGTCCTTTATATTGTGCCCAGTTTTCCCAGCTTTACCCAACACACACAAAAACACAGCATGCACAAACCGAGCATGGAAAATAACCACGTCATATGCTTTCTCTGATGCATGGAGAGATTGTCATATAGTGATTAATGTGAGACTGACAACTACATTTTGCTACAGTATCTTCACTGTGATCTCAAATTCCCTAACATTTCTCCTTGGGCTGGACTCTGCTTTGCTGCTTGCTGCTGGTTTATTGACATAGAAAGTAAATTAGAAAGGGTTAATTGTTATGTGTAATGTATGCTGCATAAGGCCGGTGTATCGGACATGGCATGTAGTTTAGTTAGTTTTATTGCTTTCATCTTGTACTGGGTAGTATAAGAAGTTTAATATAGTTTTGGCTTATCTTTTCTCCCCTCCCTCTCTTTTTTTCTCTCTTTACAGTATTCACCCAACATGACGATGAGTGTGTGATTTTTTTTATTTTATTTTATCTTTTATTTTATTTTATTTCTTTTTCATCTCCCCTTATCCCAATCTTCCCCTTCCATTCACCCCGGTGCGTCTTGCATTACCTCCCTCCCTTCCTCCCTTCCTACCTTCCTCCCTCCTCCTCCTCCTTGTGGACGGTGTGCGGTGCCACACAGCCCCTGGGGATGCCCCTGGAAAGCAGGACTCCCCTCAAGGTCCCCCATCCCAATGCCTGTAAAATGGGTGTAAGAACATGAAAAGGCCTCCAAGCAAAAGGATGGGTCACTTCTCCTCGCCTGCCGGGCCTCATCACAGGGCCCTAGGACAGTAAGAGCCCGAAACTGCTCCAAGCCTGTCTCTCCCAAACCCAAAACCTGCCCTCATGGGTGGCATTCAAGCCCAATCAAGATGCCCCTCTGCATCTACCACCACTCCATTATATCACGCTGATCATAACTTATGAGGGCACGCAGTTGTTGACTGACAGGAGCCGAAAACTCTCATTCAAAAACTCTGCTCCTGTGGCGGGAATGATAAAACAAAACAAAAAAAAGACGAACTGATAATGTTATTTTAGGGCAAGAATGGTTTTCATTAAATATTTGTATTTTTTGTTGTTGATGGTAATATTATTGTTATAATTTTCATAATTGATATTATTCTACTAATGTAGTTATGATTTCCTGTAAAGGGCACATTTTATCTCAGCAGCAGCATCAACAATGACAGAATAAGCACACACACGAAAAATGCACAATGATTTTCTGTTTACATGAGTTTTAGGTTATTTGATGTCTGTTTTGTTTTTTTGTCGGTCTCACTTCACATACCTCTCCTTAAAACTTCGTTCAGAATTCGTAGCTCGAGTCTTTGCCACCCAAGATATCCGTAGCACCATTTGCATAAACGTTTAAATTAAGTTAGTATCTGGGCTTAAACTGTCCATGCAGTTCTCAAACAGGTTTCTCAGAGCATTGCTGTTTTCTGGTACAAAGTGTCTGCTGATGCACCTGAATGATCGTATGTCTATCTAATCTTGTCTTAATAAGCACCCCCTTCTCACAATTTTCTATGTTTTTACTGCAAGGGAATGGCACTGATGAAATCCTGCGATGACAGGACAGGTGCCAGCTCTCCTTCAGTAACAGAGCGAGAGAGCATCTCTTCTACGGATTTGGTCTTGTCTGTAAATACAACATATTTAGCTTGTATTGTGGTTGTTTTATTATTTGTTATTTACAAGTTGTCTGTGAATCCTAAAACGTGGTTCCTTCCCCTTCATCACTTTGTTTGGCTTCAACCTCACTGTGGACTCCAAGCGGCACTGTTTTCCTCCCAGGATTCATTCTGGTCTCTCGCTGATGCCTCCCTTTGGACTGGGAGATATTTAGGGACCTCAGATACACTCAAGACGCCTGCTTTTGAGTTTGGATTGAACTCTCAGATCCTGTGTGATCCACTTTCTTCACCCAGACAAGACGGGTTAAATAACTGTCTCCTTAGAGTTCCTGTCACCCTGTTCCCTCATTAAGTCCCATATGCACGGGATAATGGATCCAGAGTATTGGGAGGCTGTAGCAGCGCTGATGATGGGAGCAGAGTGATGCACCTTGGGGTCAACAGGCTGTGCAGCCACATCGGTCGAAAGAAGAGGAATAATGGGATGCTTTTGTAATGGATATGTTTCCATTTTTGTGGATTGTTTTCGGCAGATTGTTTTTATTTTAAATGTATTCAACTGAGAAAAAAAATGAAAGCCCATAGAATCTGCACACAAAGAAATGCATAGTTACATATCACACTATTTAATTTGTTTCTTTCTGTATGTTATGTCCTCTTGGCCTAATCAATTCTGTCACTGTTTCAAAGGGATAAATGATCTCTCATGGCATCACGCTGCAGTTCAAACCAACAATAACTAAACAACCATTGTAGCCTCTATGGGTGATGGTGATGTACTTATCAATTTTCTGATATCAATGTGAACAGATTGTACCCAGAGTTCAACAGGGACATCTCCAGGATTCGGCTACCGGTGGCCTGGGAAACACTTTCTCTCCAGTGTTCCTTCAATGTAGTGACACACACCTCCCTTCTTTCCTCCAGTCCCATCTCTCACCCCTCCCAAAAAAACTCCCCCCCCCACCCCCCTTCTCTTTAATTTCCTTTTTGTAAATACTGTATAATGCATTTTGATATCATTGACATGTTTTGATATGTCAGTCACTACCAATGAATACAGCTGAAAGTAAATTATAAATAAAACTGTCCATGTTTTTCATAGAGAACGGATGCGCTGACTATTTGGCTCATGTGGCTAAATTTCCATAAAAATGTATAGAATACAGTAACACAATAAATGCAGACTGTATGCTAAAGACTTGTATGGTGGGGAGGATAGGACAGAGAGAGGACAGGACAGAGAGAAGCAAACAAGCTGTGGCGTCCTCACTCTGCCCTTGTCTCCTTATGTTTCACTTAAATGTTACTATTGGCTTTGAATAATCATTTTTGAATATTTTTTTCCAAAGGGCATCTTCTCACAAAAAAAAACATGTGACCTCTTATTGCAGTTTTTAATATGAAGGATTTTTATCAATTTAAGAAAACTTTTAAAAAGGTAAAAATAATTATGAGAACCTCATTTTAAATTAAAAACAGATCAAAAGATAACTGTGTCCTTTGCTATCCGCTCCTGTTATAACGTTGTATAGATTGAAGCTCTCTCACTGATCCTCTCTCAGTCCTCTGTGTATATCGATCGTTGGCCATCTCTGTACTTCTATTGTGATGTATAATACTGTACCATTAGGAAGATTTGCTGGTCGGGTGGGGTGGTTATGTTGAGTTGGGGAGGGGTGGGGATTCAAGGGAAGGGGTTATGAATGATTCTCCTGTACCGTTCATGGTCCTTTCTGATGACACGGCAGTATTCAATATGAAGCAGTCTGTCTCTTGGGTTTGCTTTGTATTTACATGGTAGGATAGTTCAGAATCTTGTCTTAGGGACTTAGGTGTCTTGTGTAGGTAATAAAGATGTTCTTTGTATGTTTCTTTATATTGTAAAGTTTCTTTAGACTGAAAGAAAAACAGATAATTTGCTTATCAAAAAAGAAACAATGCATCAATAATAAATGTCATTTGATTTTTCATTGTTGTTTGAATCCCTTCTTCTGAGCTCTCATTTAGCTCTTAACCCCCATATTATCCAGTGCGTGAATGGAAGTCTTATACAGTGTAGGAAGGGATCACCTAAGCATTTCTTGTAAATCATCTATGTAAAACAAATGTCCAGTGGGTGAATCCTTTTTAAAAAGTTGGTAAGTTAAATAACTGGGCATGTTATGTACAGTATGTGCATGACATTTATGGTGATTTAAGGTTCTGGTTCAAAAATATATAAAGGGGAAAGGGTTACTGTAACTGTAAGGACCCTCTGCACCTAAAAGGTTGGAAATGATTGAAGTGCAAGTGAATTTTATGTTTTAACTTTTAACTGTTCTATTATAAGCATTGGTTTATGGGCCTTACCTATGCCCACACCTTTTAAAACAATACATTATTAATGTTTAATTTAGGCTATCTGCAACTGGTTTTACCAGTTTTAGTTTGCCTTAAGCCACATGACCCAATTTTGAGTTTAGTTTGCACAGGGCAATACAGCTCCAAATAAGCAAGAAACCAGTTCATTATTAACTAGTATAAAGTCCTGCTGTGTACATTCAAGAGATAAATCATTAGAGATAATGCAAAATGTGTGTGATAATGGCAGCTGAATGTTCTTCATTTGGCTATGGTGCTACTTACAGGTGCTCCTAAATTACCTTGAGAATTAATTATTTCTGAATTAAAAATAGCCACTCATGAAGCCTGCAGTCATAATCTGGCAAGTCCATTTTGTAACACACGCTGGCTCACCCTCTGTAGCAGTACAGAGGTGGATTAATTTTTCGATATTAAAAACTAAAATGTGCAGTCCTCGGGGTTCTTGTGAGGTCAAACATTAATATGCATGAAAGGGTCCAATAGAAGTGCAGGAGCTCAAGGTGAACAGGAAGCAGCCTGTTGGGATGAGCTACACAGACCGCGACGAAGTTGGTCTGATGTTGTACAGTCGGTCACCCATAGAGGTCCCACTGGTTTCGTGTTCCCCAACAGCAAACTGACTTCGCCACTGTACACTGGAGGAGGGGAGATTGTCCAGGACCAAAACAAGCCTCTGCACAGACAGCGTTGGGAGGTAACTGAGTCACTCTATCTGACCTCGATACAAGCAGAGGTACATTACAAGACGGGCTAAACAAACAAAAAAAGACAGCAGTCACTTATTGTTCACTAGCATAAGTCAGCTAACGTTAGGTACCTAGCGAGATTACAGCTAATGCTAGTTTGCTATTGTCAACTTCGTCGGCTAACGTCTGTTAGCACGTAGCCTGTTAGCCGCTTGAGGAGCCGCGGGATATACTTGTCAGAAACTTCTGGAAACGGGTGGCTAGCTTGGATACTATTAATTAAAAATACACCCGTGTAGCTAAACAGTTGACTACAGGTGACTTGTAATTGTATTAATGTACGTTTGTTAATGTATCATTAAACGCCAGGGGGCTCAGTCATGGATGATTTTGCATGGTGATGATTGTTTGTACTGTAGATGCTGTGTTAGCATTGAAGCTAGCTGTGTGTGAGCACTAAGCTCACTGATTACAGCAGCGAATTCATTTTTAAACAATGATTTGGATTTTGTTTGGGTCGAACAGTTAAAGAAGTCAATGACTTTTCATTTTGTTTTGAAGTTGTTAACCTTAATTTTCAGAGTACTCTACTAATGTCTGAACAAGAGGAGACGATGGACGCCTCTGATAGCCATGACAGTGTGCCACCAGCGAAGAAGAATGGACGTACCTCGTTGCTGGACAGCGGGGAGGACTTTGAGGTTTTAGACGAAGATGACATTGACGACGACCCCCCTCCTCTCGAAGATGCCGGGGGTGGGAAGGGCAAAAACACAGATGAATCTGAGAAGAAAAGTACAGATCCAGACCCTCTAGGTCCAGTGGAGGAGTGGCTGGATGTATTGGGTATATAACAAAATCATCATGTCAACGTATGATATTGTAGCATTCCTGTAGAACGTGTTGCAGTAGTTTATAAGTGGATATTGATGATAGGAAGGTGATCAAATCGAAACCCAAGGTGTTGTTGATTCCCATGAGCAAGGCTTGTGGTGGTGGTGGTTGCTGCTCCACAGTCACTGGACAGTGATCAGTGCTGTAACTGAATGAAACTAATATGATCCTCTTTGTGTCCAGGTAATGACCAGCTGAAGAAAAAAGTCCTGGAGGCAGGGGAAGGGCGAGACAGTCGGCCACAGAAAGGACAGAATGTAAAGATTAATCTGAAAACGTACCTGAAGGACGGGACACTTGTAGAGGAGCAGACTGACCTCTCTTTCACTCTTGGAGATGGAGATGTCATTCAGGTAAAAATTAACAGTTTCAGATGGATTAGACTATATAGAAAGTTTTTCACAATCAGGCTATGCATAATTGGGTCTATGCTACTGACGCGCTGTAGTGTTACGCCGCACATATCGGTATGTTACTACAATGGTATTCTTCTCCTTTCAGGCTCTGGATCTCACAGTGCAGCTCATGGAAATGAGAGAGAAAGCCCTCATTCAGACTGATGCCCTTTACGCATACGGTGTCCGGGGGAGGTAGGGATGGGTTTTAATCTCACTGCAGAGTTTTAACCAAGCTTTAAAAAATATGTTATTCTTGGATGTTCAGAACCCTTCTGTCGACATTCCTTTTGTGTAAACTTGTGCTTGATGTGCCTTATTTCTTAAACTTGAATGGTTTTCTTCATCTTTCCAGTATTGAACCTGAGGTCCCCTCCAATGCTGGGCTGTCCTTAGAAGTGGAACTGCTGGAAGTTACTGATGCCCCAGACCTGGAGCTGTTGGCCCCTGCAGAAAAGATTGCCCTGGCTAGCCACAAGAGAGAGAGAGGAAATGTTCATTATCAGCGTGGGGACTACGCTTTTGCTGTCAACTCATATAGCATTGCCCTGCAGATAACTGAGTCTAGTTCTAAAGGTGAGATGCAGCCCAGGGAGTCAGGACTCAGTGTTGTTGTTTTACAGTTGGTGGTTTTCTGTCATTTGGCAATGGGCTTAGGGGATGTCTGAAAGGTGGGGAAGTTTTAGATTAACCCCAAAACAAGAGGGGCTTTTCCCTCAACATGTTAAATGGTTAAAAAAAAAAAACTTGAATGTGGCCCACGTTAGATAGTGATGGGCAGGGACTAGATTTAACATTTTAATGATGCTCTGATGGACATTTTTGTAATTTAGTTTAATTTTAAGGTTCTTTTTTTTGTGACATTGTTTTTTAAAACTTTTTTTTTTTTTTAAACTGTTTTTAAAGTTTTTGTTTATGTTGTGGTTTATTTTGCTGCAGTTGACATTAGTCCTGAGGAGGAGAATGAGCTTATGGATGTAAAAGTGAAGTGTTTAAACAACATGGCTGCTTCTCAGCTGAAACTGGACCACTACGATGCAGCTCTTAAATCTTGTGTCTCTGCACTGGATCACCAGCCAGACAACATAAAAGCACTTTTCCGCATGGGCAAGGTACACATCACTGTTCTTTCACTTTCACTGTCAGGCAGTGATACATTGTTTTATTAATTATTTGTTTTCACTCAAGGTACTAGCCTTGCAAGGTGAATACACAGAAGCCATTCAAACTTTGAGGAAGGCACTGAAGTTGGAACCAAGCAACAAGGTACTTTTGGCATCTTCACATTTATTTTTGGTACAACACAGCTTTTAGTATAGAGAAATGTCAGTTCTTTCTTATTGCCAGTAGATGGTGCTATAGGGTAAAATATCAACTCACTTACTTGGTAGTGCAAGGTCAGGTGGGCTGCTGATTCATCATTTCAGAGGATCTGTTTTCATGTTGTTGCTGTAAATAGATTTGCCCTGCACCCCAGCCATATCTAATACCTCGCCACTGTTACTGTTCTCCTGCTTATACAGTCGGGTATATGTGGTTCTTTGGCTACACAAGGCCATTTGACAGAACTCAGCTCAGTGCGTGGGCTTCTTGGATCAGCTGTGAGCTGCAGCAGCATGGTACTCATGCCCAGAATCCCCCACTTGAGTCCTACACCAATCTGTCAAATAGCACATGGCCTGGTCTCCACTTAAGCTTTTCATCCAACATTTACATTACATTTTGCAATTATACATCTTTGGTGGGTTTCTGTTTTAATGGGTCTGTCACAAATGCCATATTTCCACTATATGGCACAGCTCGACATGGTTTTGGTACCCCTACTTCGTTGTCCACTGTAGGTAGTTCTTTGGTTAGTATGTTTTTTTATTTTTTATGTTGGTCTTGAGAAGCTTCAGCCTTTATCCACTGACAAACTTTAACATATGATGTACATTAACTGCTAGATTGACAACTTCACACCTCACCCTTTCCTCTGCATCACTCGCTTTCATACTTTCATGTGGCTATTTAAAGTGTGAGGTTTGTGCCGGATGACCTATTTTGCGTGACCAATCTGTGGTCTGCAGAGTTTTCATTTTCACCTTTTAGTATCAGCTTAATTTGTTTGGAACCTCTGTCGAGGTGGTTCAAAAACATACCAGGTACTATTTGTTATGGAAAACCAGAGAAGAGCAAGTAAAGTCAAATCATGGAAAAGCAGCAAAAGATGCGTGATTTTATGCACCAGCAGGCCCTTTTGCCTGGCTAAGATGTGTCAATACATTTCTGTCCACTGTTTGTAAGTGTGCAATGATCTCTGTGTCAACAAAAGTTTTTTTTTTTTTTTTTAACTGGTGTGAGAGTAGCTGTTAATCTGAGCTCACCTGGTCGAGCACATACCACATATCAAGACAGTCCTTATCGAAGTGGCACAAGTTTGAATCCAGCCTTTTACTGCATCCCTCTCTCTCCCCTGCCTTGTCACAAAAAATAAAAAAATATATAAAATGGACGTTTCTCTCAGTGCTACACTAATGAAAAGACTCCTTAAATAACATGTTCTAACAACAAGAACAGTGGGTGTGCTTCAGTGACAATATGAGGACGCTGCCATTGTAATCAATGAGGCGGTCTTAAACAGGCGCAGGCGTCATGGAGTGACAGGATGACGTGCTAGTGCTCTATTCTCTAGGCACCAACAGACATGCTGTCTACAGTTTTTTACACTGGTGTCAGCTATACATGCCCTTTTATCTTCAACTCGCATGGATGAGAAGAGATTTATTTGTCTGTGGTTTTCTGACATGACACGCAGACTTTTCAATTCTAGTTTAGACCGCCTCAGACTGTTTTCAGCACAGTATTTGGACACACAGATGTTGGTAGGACAGGATGTTACATGTTTGTTTAGCTACTTTATCCTTGCCCTGGGGACGAGTCAGTGTCATTTTTGTCATTTCGGTGGCGAGCTGATTGCACAATAGTGGTGCCAACTTACCAGGGCTGCCCTGCTCAAACACTGTGCTGTAAATGTATCTGTTTACTCTTAGCATTAGGTAGGATCAAACTAATTCTCAAGGTAGAGACTTGTACAGACACTCTACTCTCCACTTCCCACAAATGTATTTACATAAGATAAGATAAGATAGACTTAATAGTAATATAAAAGTACTATTAAGCGAACATGCTGTAAACTCTGTGTAATGGTTCTCCATCACTCTTTTGGAAGTGTATTTACAAAGCATAAACATTTTAGTTGTCTCTGAAGGCACTGGTTTGCTTAGTCACTTGCCGGTTTTAAGAGCAGTAAAGTGACTCAGATCTGAGGCCGTGCTGGAGGAATAACTGAACCCATATCCTGGAATTGTGTGGACATGTGGGCTGAATGGCAGGCTAATTTTGTGATGCAAGCCTGTCTTATAAGACAACAAAGAATGGCATAAACATGTTTTCCTGTGTGTGTCTGTGTTGTGTGTGTGTGTGTGTGCGTGTGTGTGTGCGTGTATATATATATGTATGTATACACACACACACACAGTATATATTTAACTTTTTTTTAAATGATGTGTCATTCATCCATCATGATCGTAGAAAAATGATCTGTCATATTTCTTTTTAAAATTCTCATGATGTCATTTTTCAAGCTTTACAGACCACTTGTGTGTGTTGATGTAAGGGTATTGTCATCCTGACATATTCCCATTAACAAGGAAATCAGTCTTGGGTTGTTATACAGTACCAGCACTTTGTTTCCCTCACGTTGGGATAGCTGATCTGGTAGAGTAGATAAAAGGGTCTGGGTGTTGAACCGGAGCCTGCAGCAACTATTTGTCTTGTCTCTTCTGTATAGACTATCCACGCAGAGCTCTCCAAGCTGGTGAAGAAGAACTCGGAGCAGAGAGGAGCAGAGCAGGCCATGTATAAGAAGATGCTGGGTAACCCCTCTAGTAGCAGCGGCAACACACAGAAACACCGGTCCAAGTCTTCGTGGGTGAGATCCCTTAGAAAACAAGTGTTCAGGGTTTTAAAATGTTGGGTTAGAATACAGCTTGAACCTCTGTCCATCATGATGCTCACACACTTTCATTAGTTATTTTGGAATGACATGTACAGTGGGTATGGAAAGTATTCAGACCCCTTTAAATTTTTCACTCTTCGTTTCATTGCAGCCATTTGCTAAAATCAAAAAAGTTCATTTTATTTCTCATTAATGTACACTCAGCACCCCATCTTGACAAAAAAAAACAGAAATGTAGAAATGTTTGCAAGTTTATTAAAAAAGAAAAACTGAAATATCACATGGTCATAAGTATTCAGACCCTTTGCTGTGACACTCATATTTAACTCACATGCTGTCCATTTCTTCTGATCTTCCTTGAGATGGTCCTGCTCCTTCATTGGAGTCTAGCTGTGTTTAATTAAACTGATTGGACTTGATTAGGAAAGGCACACACCTGTCTATATAAGACCTTACAGCTCACAGTGCATGTTAGAGCAAATGAGAATCATGAGGTCGAAGGAACTGCCCAAGGAGCTCAGAGACAGAATTGTGGCAAGGCACAGATCTGCAGCACTCAAGGTTCCTAAGAGCACAGTGGCCTCCATAATCCTTAAATGGAAGAAGTTTGGGACGACCAGAACTCTTCCTAGACCTGGCCGTCCAGCCAAACTGAGCAATCGTGGGAGAAGAGCCTTGTTGAGAGAGGTAAAGAAGAACCCAAAGATCACTGTGGCTGAGCTCCAGAGATGCAGTAGGGAGATGGGAGAAAGTTCCACAAAGTCAACTATCACTGCAGCCCTCCCCCAGTCGGGGCTTTATGGCAGAGTGGCCCGACGGAAGCCTCTCCTCAGTGCAAGACATATGAAAGCCCGCATAGAGTTTGCCAAAAAACACATGAAGGACTCCCAGACTATGAGAAAGAAGATTCTCTGGTCTGATGAGACCAAGATTGAACTTTTTGGCGTTAATTCTAAGCGGTATGTGTGGAGAAAACCAGGCACTGCTCATCACCTGCCCAATACAATCCCAACAGTGAAACATGGTGGTGGCAGCATCAGGCTATGGGGATGTTCTTCAGCTGCAGGGACAGGACGACTGGTTGCAATTGAAGGAAAGATGAATGCGGCCAAGTACAGAGATATCCTGGAAGAAAACCTCTTCCAGAGTGCTCAGGACCTCAGACTGGGCCGAAGGTTCACCTTCCAACAAAACAATGACCCTAAGCACATGGCTAAAATAACAAAGGAGTGGCTTCGGAACAAATCTGTGACCATTCTTGACTGGCCCAGCCAGAGCCCTGACCTAAACCCAATTGAGCATCTCTGGAGAGACCTGAAAATGGCTGTCCACCAACGTTCAGCATCCAACCTGATAGAACTGGAGAGGATCTGCAAGGAAGAATGGCAGAGGATCCCCAAATCCAGGTGTGAAAAACCTGTTGCATCATTCCCAAGAAGACTCATGGCTGTACTAGCTCAAAGGGGTGCTTCTACTCAATACTGAGCAAAGGCTCTGAATACTTATGACCATGTGATATTTCAGGTTTTCTTTTTTAATAAATTTGCAAAAATGTCTACATTTCTGTTTTTTTCTTTCAAGATGGGGTGCTGAGTGTACTTTAATGAGAAATAAAATGAACTTTTTTGATTTTAGCAAATGGCTGCAATGAAACAAAGAGTGAAAAATTTAAAGGGGTCTGAATACTTTCCGTACCCACTGTATGTAATTGTCAAGGTGTGGTAATCAACAAAGAGTGTCAGTTATATATAAAAACTTGAAGTGAGTTGAAATATTTTGCTTTGAGCTGTGTCACAATATTATTCAACCTACTTAACATCACTGTTGTTCCTTTTAATTCCCCAGGGTCTCAGCTGGAAGTGGCTGTTCGGTGCCACTGCGGTAGCCATTGGCGGTGTAGCATTATCCGTCGTCATAGCTGCAAGAAATTGAACCAAGCCTGACCGAGCCACTGCTATGTGAGAGCCTAAACACAGAGGCACATCTGGCAGTGCCTTCTGACCTTTGGTCAAAGGGGGTGAAAATGTCAGTCAGTCAGTTGCCTCTTCACTGTCACTCTCCTTTCTCTGCTATGTTTGAGAACTATATGTGACAAATAATTAAACATCAATAGTGGCATATGGGAACTGTATTTCCAACCTTATAAATGTGTAGGTTTATGCATATTTGTCACGCTGCCAGACACGGTTTTCTTTTGCTGCCATTGTTTGTGTCTTTGGTAGGTAATGTTGGAAGTTTATGAAAAATAATAGATTCAGATAGAGGCTATTTAAGAATATTTTCCCCATTTAAAATAGCTATTGTGATATGGTCCTATGTTATGCTATAGTTTTAAAGCGTCAGATTGTGCAGGTAGAATAATGTTTCCTATCCAAGAAAGAATATGTGATTTCACTGTTTTTAATTACAGTACGATGTTTCATGTTCACTGGTCTAATGCAGATTATTATTTGAGGTCCACGCGATGGCAATGTAGCTAGCTTGTGTGCTAGCTCTCACACCCTTTCTACAGACTCTACTCATGCACTAAGTGACCAGACAAATAGAAACACCTGTACAATGTAATTCAATACAACAGTCAGCTTTTACTTTAGTTGGTTATGTATTGAGGCTGGAGTTTGTTGTGATGTTGAAGCGTGTTCCTAAAATTGTATCCACTTGATTAACATACATGGAGGAGCAGAAATATACAAGACCCCTCACAACGTAATGCAGTTCAATAAAATACAGCAAACTGCAGCCTCAAATGGCACCCATCTGACACAGTGTCAACAACAAACAAAAATATTATTTCACAAAGGTGGCTTATAAATATACATGACTGTGTATTTGATTGCAGTTCAGGGTGGTTTCTCCATTCCTGCTCACTTGTGCATACATACAGTTAAACATCAACTGAAGTAGATTAACTGTACTTTATTTTCAACATTTGTTCAATTACATACTTCTTGGGAATAAAGGTGCAGTTGTTACCTTCTGAAACAAGGAAGCATGATGGTACAGAGAGTTTCTCAGTGATGTGGCTATGAATAATGCTGAAGATTATTTTTATTAATCAGTTTCAGTCAATCATACCTCAGTTTTTGATGATCAAGACCAAATGTTGAAGGATGTCCCTTCAAATATTGCCTGTGACATTTTTCCTTTGATTACGTTCCTTTGAGTGTTTATTTATTCCACTGTTATTGATCATTGCTTTCTCACGTGCAGTTAATGTGACACGACTGAATCTGTGGCTTCTTCGGAGTAGATGGTAGTCCTACACAGCCAAAAGTTGCATAAACTCTTAACAGAAGGTGACAAATGAAGTGATCGTAGAGTTCTTGGCATTCCCTGCATTTGTTAATTTTATATTCATCACAATAAAATTTGTCTGTTATCAAACTGCAGTTTCTTTTTGTATGGTATCACAGTTTTTACCTGTGTATCTCACAGGCATCATTGACAAGATATCCTGTGAACTATGTCCACTTCTGGGCCAGTTTCATGTTTTCCTGGTGATTATAAAAAAAATTTAAACTAAGATTGAGAAATATCAGTGACGTGTGTACTAGATAGACATCCGTCTCTTCCATTAAATTCATGGTCATATTTATACTAAACTGTATGAAAACAGTCGTCTTATTCCAAAACTGCCGTGTTAAAATATTAAATATTTACATTTCTCATGTTTTGTCTACAACTGGACATTCCCAAAATTTCTGGATATTCCCAAACTGGGTTTTTCTTTTTTTCCAGACATTGACGTTTCACTGACGTAATCTGATGACCTACCGTTTCCCCCTTCCTACGCGTTACTGATGTGCAATCCTCATTCTTAAATACTGCGAGGAATATTTAATTTTGTCCACCATAAATAACTATAACATACAATTACAAAATAAAACAGTAGTATTAAAATAAACAAAAACACGAATTATCCGAATCAACCTCTCGTCTCAGGATTAGTTTTAAATTGAGTAATTTAGTAGTTTAACAGCACCGACAACACAACTATAACGTACTAAATCTATTAAACCGAACGACATGCGTTGCTGTAGTGCAAATATAATTGCATTAAACTACACGTGTGTGCCTATGTAGGGGCTCATTATTGCCCTGTGACTTCATCAGCAGTGAGCGGTCATTGAATATTCATTGAAAAGCAACGGGAGTTCTCGGTTTACGACAGAGTGCGTCCGTGCGCGTGGTGGGAACGGTAGCAAGATGGCGGCGCTGAAGGAGGAGCAGTGCTACGGACTGTCCTGTGGAAGAGTGAGCAACGGTAGCAATGTCTCCGTCTTTCACGTTAAACTCACTGACAGCGCGCTGAGAGCGTTTGAAGGCTACCAGAGCGGCAAGGTAAACGGCCCGTTTTCGGTACTCTGACATTTTGGGGTTTTTTTTGTGTGCGTGTGTATACGTGTGTGTGTGTGTGTGTGTGTGTGTTTTTTTGAAGTGTGTCCGGGCGGCTGTGACAGGCAGAGTGAGGTCAGTCCCCCCCACTCTCGTCTGCCGCTGTCTTCATGCTGAGATACGGCCACGGCAGGCTGGTTGAAGCCTGGCTAGTTTCTGGCTTCGTAAGTGCGACCAACAGCTCTCGAACCGGCCGTTGCTCACTGCTGTTGAACGTTAGCTGTTCTCCGTCTCGTAGCTACACCCCGACTCACTCCACAGTGTCCACACCGACTGTTGAGCACCGCACTCGGTCGTTTATCAGGCTCGCTGCTCCCTGCTGCTGGTTACTGAGCCCTTGTAGTTGTTTTATTGTATTATTATTTTTACTATCAAGGTAGTTTTTACTTTGGAGTGAACTGTGTTTTTTTTTTTTTTTTAACTCGGTTTTTTTGTTGCTAACTTGCCTTCACAGAATGTTTTATAGTAAAGTATAAGAATTATTTTAATTGAAAACAACATGGAGTAGCTTCTGTTTGTGTATACAGATGTTTCCAGAAAGTTTGTTAAGCTGTCAAAAAAAACACAAAAACCCCCCAAAAAATCTGGCAAATCCTTGCTAGCTAAACTAGCCAGCAGCTGCCCACACATAATGGTAACAGCCACCGTTTGGAAATATAAGCCCTGACTTCTCGATGACTTTGATTTTATTTTTTTCTCTTCTTCAGTTGTTAACTCAAGGAAAGTGTTGCCTCGGTTGAGTATCTAATGACAGCATGGTGAATAATTTGGAAAAGTACCCAGTATTCATGCGAAAGATGGCCATCTCCTTTCCCAACCCCCCTCTCTCCTCTGACTGCCACCAAAGGCTCATGTTCACTTGATAGCTTTAGAAGTGCGTCAAAGTTATTAAAACGGTACATCCAACACATCTTGTATCGTCAGCAGCTTTTTCTTTAATATATAAGAGTTGAGATTAAAGGTCTGATCTCTGAAGTGGCTCTGCTGGTTGCTTGGGCTTCTTGCGTAGAGAGCTGTAAGTCTGATGATGGCCATCTAATGTTTCAGCTTCTATAAATATTTGACAGGGAAAACCTGGCACTCAGGACAGGGAGGAAAGGGCCTTATCTCCAGCTTCAGTGGCTGTGTGCAGGAGGACTGCAGCTGATAAGCCAGAACAATAAAATTGTCATAGGTAATTGGGGGGAACTACTAGTTGTAGGAACTCAATAAATCAATGTGTAACACAGAAGAAATCATCAATGTGGGTTTTTATATTCTATTTTATATTGATATTTTAATTGTATTTCCATTGGGAAAGATTGGTTTTAAAGGACCTTTTTGTTCTGTTAGAGATGACGACCATTCTCACATGATTACACATTGTTTTTGCAATTTGCATTTGTTTAAGTTGTGATATTTGCTGAATTTTGACTTAATCATGAAGCATACTAGGCAAAGTAGTGTGTCGTGCACTATAATTGGATTCTTAGTTTGACTAAAACTTATACAGTCACAAAGATTTGTGCCACTTCCTTTCATTTATAGTACTTGTGATTCAGGATAGGTTGTTGTTTTTCATAAAGCGGCAGGACGATACTCAGTGTGATTGTCTGAAGCATCTTGTGCTCGACACAATTAATATTGGCAGGACTTTCCTGGAGGAGTAGAGCGCTGCCACATCTTTAGCACCATTGTTCCACAAAGACATGTTCAAAGCATATTCTTATGCAATTTAAAGTATGCTAGTAATACACTTTTTTTTTTTTTTTTTTTTTTTTTTTTTAAGAAACGATCCTAACAAGGAATTCTGTCTGCGGAGGAAAGGTGGACTCGTGTGTTACAGTTAAGGTGCACCTTTTTATTGAGAATTGGCTCTTGTACTGACTCGCAATCCACTAAAGCTGTTTTTCTAGCTGCATGCTTACTGTATCACCGTTTCCCTGTTATCTGTGTTAAACCCTTACTCATAGTTTGACCAGAATAGGGCTATGGAGTAATCCGATATCTGCATGGTATAGTAGTGGGTGCTTAGTTTGTGGAAAGTTCAAAGCGATAGGATGATATAAGCCTGTGCTGCACCATTTTACACCTTAGCTGGCACAAACGTTCACATCACATTTTTAATTTTTCTGGTTGGGGGTGTGTCCCAGTGCAGGCCAACAGTTTAGGAGATAGGATCTCTAATTTGGTACTTTAGATTGGGTCTATTTTTCCAGTAAGCTCTGTGCATTAAAAACAGACCTATCAGTGATATATAACAACACAGTCAGTGTGCTATCTGACACACATGAAGACTGCACATGTGTATAAGCACTGTTATTGTGACTATTAACAGCTTTTGTTGCAGCCCAGTCACAGATACTGATGATGTTAAACCACCCATCAGTAATCATGCACAGGCATGCAGGTATGTGGCATGTCTAGATTTATTACATTATATTTGTGTATACATTACTGTATACACAGGAGTGCCCTCAGTATACTCAAAGCTATGTTTATTTAAAAGTAGCATATTGAAATTGAAAGCTCAACAATACGACCACAGAGCAGTGCAAATAGTCCCTCAACTAACACAGACGTGTGCACAAACACAGATTGAGAAAAGATATCTTTTTAGGTTTACACAGAAAGAAATGTGGTTCAATGTCAGATTGACATCATTATGCGCTTTGGGCTTCTTATTCGCTTATTTTTCTCTTTTCACATTAGGTCATGAAATGCAGAAATCTACCGCACTCTGAAAAATGAAACAAACAGGCAAAGAAATTCAAGCTGTATACAATGTGCTGTTAAAGTTTAGACCAACAGAGATCAGCAACTCCTGTGCTGTGGAGAGTTAGTTCCTCATATATTGTCAGGGTTGAAATGTCATTTATTAATAAAATTAAGGGCTAATTATTATCACACACGCCACCACTCCGAAGTAGAGCTCATATTGCTTGAGTGGCTCAGGTATCATTTTAGGGGAGCTTGGCCCCCCTGGCTTCCTCGTAATTCAAACACTGGCTGGCTCCCAACAGCAGGGGTGAGCTGGGAACTCGGTAAAGGAAGAGGAAGAGCCACAGAATGACACACGCCTTTCAATGTAAAAGTTGCGGTGTGGTCAAGAATGTAATCAGACAAAGCTGGTAATGTCTGTTGTCCCAGTTCTGCTATTGTTTGACTGGAAAATGTGTAAACACTGCCAGGCACCTGCTTTGCCAAGCTAAAAGCCAGGCTGTTCCAGGCTGGTATACAGCATAATCGCTTTGCTAAATCGTAGACCCTAGCTAGCCTCAAAACCGTACACAACTGGAACAATTAAACTCTTCACTGTGTCATTGTAAATTCATTAAATTCTTCTAAATTAGAGGAGAACAAGAAATTCATACTGGCTTGTTTTATCATTCCAGTGTAAGCTAACCAAACGCTAAATGTTGTCTCAGATGCGAAGCTGATTCAGTTAGGCTGTCTGATAGTCAGTGTACGTGCAATGAGAATCTGTGACTCTTTCTTATTGTGTTTATCTAAGTACTTTGTGTAACACCAGTCATCAACTACCAGTAGTTCAGTGTATTGACTGCTTCCTGTATGAGACGTGACTGTCAGCTGGTTCCTCTGTTGGTACGTCTGAGGACAGAGTGAACTGGAGCTCCTGCTGCGGGACTGGCAGCCCAGAGACTCACTTATTCTTTTTTTACTAGCTGTGACATAAGCAAGAAAATGAGTAAGGCTACTTGAGCGTCATCGAGCTGAATGTTATGGAGAGTAAAGATAAAAGTTGACAATTGTACCTGTTACAGCACAGTAGTTGGATTCAGTATTAGTTTTAATTTTCTTTGTTGTGAATGATTGCGGCTTTTTTTAAAAACTTCTCAGAATAGAAACCCCACAAAAATAAAAGCTTAATCATTAAACTAAAATATTAAGCATATCTCAGATATAAAACATTCCTAGGCAGTCCAGGAGAGCTTGCATATGAAGTGACAATAAATCTTGTGTGCTGGCACTGCAGTGTTATACTGGTGAGAGATGAGTAGTCCAATTTGAATGTGAAAACCTTTTGTTGGCTCAAGTCACATCTTTTGTCTTGGTGGTGAGGTAATGGATTGTTGATTATAAGCTGGGAGTATGACTTTTATATTTTTAAGGACATGCATCACAGTAGTGGCATTCGTTCTTGTGGTTGGCAACTCTGTGTTGCATTTACGTTTTAAGCCCTGGAATGAATTGTAAGTTACTGTAATGAATGTAATGATTCATTTAATGATTTGAAACTTTAATCCAGTTTTTTTATAATAAACTGTTAAAATAAAAGCTGATGGTTGGATGGCAGACAGGATACGTGCTGTGGTAGGCATGCTGCATAATGACAGGACCAGGTAAACAAGGCAACAATAAACGTGTCACCAAACTCAGTTTATATGTGGAGGATATCCTCAGTTTTGTTGGATGAGCTTTTCACCTTGTCACCACAGAAAGGGAGACCGATGGCATTATGATAAGCTGGTCCTCCGATCCACACAGCTTGCACTTTGGTTTCTTCACCAGGTAAACAAATGCATTTACTTACTGGAATTTGTCTGTTCTTTTTACCCTCCAGTTTGTAAATCGATTTATTTGAAAGAAAAAGTCAGATGCCTGAGGTTTTTATGCAGATGGAGCTCAATCTTCGGTTAAGTACTTGTGGTGACAGGCCATAGGCTTCACTAAGGAGGTCAGTTTACACCAAGTCAGTTTTGCTCTTGTGCTTGGCTGCACTCTACCTCCTGTCTCGACCCCTATGGGGATGGTATGGGAAGTAATGGAGACTGGGAGGGGATTGTGTTTCTTCACGCTGGTCATCCTGTGCCAGTGCTATGGTTATTTAAGGAATGCTGACTCCCCAGCTTCAGCAGATCACGGGACGCTGCAAGAGATGACCATAACCACTAAGGCCAAATATGACTCTAAATGTCATGGTGTCCCTCTGTCCTGTGGCAGGG